AAGATGGTATTTGCACAACCTTGAAATATCTTCTCTAATGTATTTATTACTGTGGTGGTTTTAGCAGATGTCAGCATTTGCTTTGATGGTCCTCTCTCCAGGAGGTGGCTCTCATTTCTCCTACCTGTGAATTTGGACTGAACAGATTAGGTCACTTCTAATGAATAGAAGATGAAAAAGAAATAATAGTAACTTCACAGTGGAGGCACCTGGCAGGCACCACCTTCATCAAGTAGTCATGTTCAATTTCACTAATGATGTCATGTAGGTTTCATAAGTGTCCTGATGAGAGGCAATGAGGAGACAACTTGACCTATGTCAAATTCTTCCCCCCAAAATATAAAATCTAGCCTAATCATAGGATAATATCAGACAGACCCAAACTGAAGGGACAGTCTACAATAAACCTCACCAATATTTTTCAGACGTGTCAAAATCATGGAAAACAAGGATAGTCTTAGAAACTGTCACAGGTGAGAAGAGACTTAGGAAACTTGACAATTAGCTACAACATGGTATCCTGGATTGAATCCTGGAACCAGAAGGAGCATTACTGGAAAATTTGGTGAGACCCTGACAAAGTCTATAGCTTAGTTAATATTGTTGCACAAGTGGTGCCATGTTTATGTGGGATGCTGGTACTATAGGACACTGGGTAGAGACTATATGGGAATGCTGCACTATAGAACTCTTCTGCAAACTTAAAAATATTACAAAGTAAATAGTTAAAGTTAATCAGTAATAAAAAAATATGTTTAACCTTGGTCTGTATTTCCTCAACTATTTTTATTAAATATCTGCAATAATAACTCTACGTACTCTCTCTCTCACACACACACACACTCACACACTCAAGTGCAAACAACATATAGAAGTGAAACAGCAAATACTCTTCCTCTTTTCAATGTTATAGAAGTTGTCCAATGCCAATTCAATGAAAGAAAAAAATGTAAAGGTGTGTAATGATCTTCAAGAGAGAAAGGAACTACCTTCATTTGTAGATGTAAATATGACAAAAGATGAGCAAGATCTTGAAAGGAAAAATTATATAATTAAAAAGAATAATGTAAGGTATGCAGGAAGAGTCTACAAATAGTACCACTTAATGTTATAAATCCTAAAAATAATATTCCAATTCCCCTCCAAAGTGGTCTATGATTTTAAGTCCAAATTGCAAAATATGCTACAGCTTTAACAAGTGATTATAAAAATTCATATGGAAACATGGAAATCCAAGCATATCCAAGAAAATGACAAAAAGAAAATCACATGAAGAAATTTGTCCTCTATGATAATGGAAATAATTATATGATGCATCTAAAACAATGTGGTACATTCACAACAATAAAATCGTTTTCGGAATAGTAGGGATTTCTCAAAGAGTTGCATGCATGTATGTAAACTTGAATATGGCAAATGATGGGATATTCAATGAAAAGGTCTGGAATTATTGGCTTGCCAGAAGGATGCTGCTGCTGCTGATAATAGTAAAAGTAATATCACTCAACAGAAAAGGTAAATTACAGCTGTATTAATGTTTATAATATAAAACTTTAAACTTTAAAAAGAAAAGGTATAATAATGCCTTCATGGCCTGGAAGTAAGGATGATTTTCTTGCACAGAAGACAAAATGCAAAAATCATGACGGAAAGTGAATAAATATGATCACAATCACTGTACTGGTGGAGACATAACAAAAGTTAATTTTAAAAATCTAGATAAAACAAAATCAGAATGGGAGAAGATATTTGCAAAAAAATTTATTTAAATAATAAAAATACAGGGTACCTCATGAGACTTCCAATTCTAGATGTAGATTAAGTTTCAAGTGTAGTTAGAGATTGATTTCTATTTTCTGAAATTCTCTTATACTGCCTTCAGATTAATAATGAGGCTGGTTTTTTTGTAATGGCCACTAACAACTTCTAGTTCTAGTTTTATCTCAATTCACAAATATGATGAAAGGAAAGGCCGTATTTCATAAACTTATGGTTACTGAAGGGGAAAGAGGGGAGGGATAAAGTTGAGGTATGAGATTAACAGATACAACCTGCTATACATAAAAGAGACAAGCAACAGAGTTTTACTGACTAGCACAGGGAACTATATTCTATACCTCATCATAACCTAGAATGGAAAAAAAATCTGGAAAATATATATGTATAGCTGAATCACTTTGCTGTACACCTGAAACTAACAATATTATAAATCAACTATATTTCAGTTTTTGAAAAGTGAATCACTATAATGAAATCTGAAATGAACACAATATTGTGAATCAACTATACTTCAATTTAAAAAATAGTTAAGAAAGTTAAAAAAATAAGTTTGCTTTTTTTTTAAGCCTCATAATGATGACTCCACAGCTGAGTCAAGCCTGGGCCAGGAGAATTTCATGGACTAACACAATTATAAGTGGAGTTGTTCTGATGGATTTAGATTTATCACAGTATATCCCTGAAGCACAGAATGAGTAACTCCACCAAAATCTCCAGGTTGCCCTCAATCTGGGGGCAGACAGAATGGACGCTGGAGAGACAATCACAGTGTTCACTACAGGCTGTCAAATGTGTTGATCAAAATATGTTAGCAGATATATTTGGAAAAATATAAAGAAATAAATTACTTATAAAGTAACAGAAGAGCAGACATAAATAAAAAAAATGACAATACAAATGTTACTATAAAGACTTTTCCTCTTACTGAAGTTGTACACTTTCACCAATTGCTTGGTTTACCGTATCAGATGCCTAACCAACCCTCTTCTCTTCACCCACTCCTTCCAGAACACTCTACATTGCAAACGCGATGATATTTTAAAATTACAAGTCCATGACCAGTCCGGCTTATTCAGTGATGTGCTGGTAAATATTTAACAACTGGCTTTCTAGGGTTGGAGGGTGGGGATGGGCACAGGAATGTGACTTGTGGCTTTTGCCAACCTCTGTGAAGTAAACACTCCCACCATAACCAATTCCTAGTGACCAAAATTATGTTGACCTGTTCTCCCTGAAAATAACAAATCAGCACACACAAGGCAATGTGAGCCAGTTCAACACCACGGCATACATCTTCAATTACTTCTTAAGATTCACAGAGCTGCTTTGTCTTACAGTCTCCTGTGATAACGTACACTTCTCTCTCCAAACTTATGTCTTGCTATCTCATGCTAACTCATGCATCAGCGTTAGACACACTCAAGTGACTTGTTTTTTCCTTGAATATCCCCAAATCTCTCTAGCGTAGAGGTTTTGCATGTGTTCCGCATATTCCTTTTTCCCTTCATCATGCTGACTCCCAGTCATCTTTCATATCTCAGTTTAGAAGAAAAGTCTTCTGAAAAGTTGTCACGGACACCCCCTTTCACCTGGGTTAGCCACGCTTCCCATGGGCCTTTTCCCAAGGCCCATGCTTCCTATCAGAGCCCTTACTGCTCCATGTTGTGATGATCTGTTTCTGTGGGTCTGTATTATCCACAAAACGCAACTGGAGAACAGAGACTGTGTACCATTCTCTATTGTATGCACAGGACATAGCACATAGTAGGTACTTTCTAAATCATTGTTGAATGGACTGAAAAACAAATAAGTTATATAAATAACATATATATATAATTTTTATATATGCATTACTTCAGAAATTATGTCTATTTCAGAAATCTGTATATTTTCTGAAGAAGAGAGACAAGAATTAGTAGAGAAGGTGATGGAAAAATCATTACACATATGATGAACAAGGAGCTAAGAGTAACTTACAGGTATGAATTTATGTACTTTGTGGATGACTCAGTTCCCTGTCAAGAGAAGGAAGTTAATTTATAAATCAGAAATAAACATCCCCACAGGAAACTATATTCAATGCCTTGTAATAGTCTATAATGGAAAAAAATATGAAAAGGAATATATATGTATAAATGAATCACTATGCTATACACTAGAAATTAACACAACATTGTAAATCAACTATAATTTTAAAAAAAGAAAGGAAGAAAGGAAGGAAGGAAGGAAGGATCCTTGAGCAGTAGATATAAAAACCAGGAGCCAGACAGATCAGAAAGAACATCAAATTATCACTTGAAAAGATGGTCATTAATGTCCCTGGAGGGAAGGGAAGGAGCCACAATGCAAGGTGAGGGTTTCTGCCATCTTTCCTGCACATCTGACCACAACCTCTCCTCAGCCTTAACAGCACAAGACCAACAGCAATGGCAACGTCATTACCAAATGTTGTGGGGCTGTTTCACACGTGCTTTATTTTTATTTAATCATCATAACAACTGATGGGGTAGTTGGTCCTATAACACTTATTTTACAGATGAGGAAAAATAGGTCAGAGGGATTAAGGCACTTGCTCAAGTTCACACAGATAATAAGTGACAGTAGCAGAATTTGCATCCAGATCTGTTAGATTCTAAAGCCCTTTCTCTTAACTTCTCTGTATTGCAGATTCTCACTGTCCTTTGAAGAACAAATACTGATTTTACTCTCAGAGACTCCAATCTAAGCCATTATTTTTGTATCTGGGCTTGTGTGAACTCAGCAGCTGATTGAAGTAAAATCTCCGAGACATCATCTTCTCACCCCAAATATAGTAAAAATTTATCTTAATGATTATGGTGAGAATTTTTGGACAGTTTTTACAATGCTCATGTCAACTAAAGTCAAGAAGCATTTTTCTGTCATGGAAAAAAATTTCACTCATTTTTCCTTCTCATGGGGGGGTTTGGAAGTTGGATTTTAGAAAGAATACATGAAATAGGAATTATTCTTGTCTTTTGTCAACCTTAGAAAAAAGAGCACCAACTTCTGGGAACAATTTTAGAGTGGTGATCATAGAAGTTACAAAACAAAGAATGCTCAGAAGAGCATATTTGTCCTTCCATACCTAGGATTTATAGTGGGAGTTATAGTTAGGATGGAAAAGATTGAGTCCAATGTCCAAGTTTCTCATGATCAATGCCATGATGGCTCCATGGCATGGTGCCATGTGGTTCACGGGCTCATGCTCTCTTGAGTTCTTGGATGAAGCACTGACTCTTTGGAGATTTAAGACTGAATTTTCTTTGTCTCAGATTTGCTTTCATTAGGAGGCATTCTTGCTTGACTCCACAGAATTGGGAGATGAGAAAATTGCCTGGAAAAAAGAACAACATTAATCTCCAAGAATAGGACCATCACCTCTCTCTTCTTCCATCCTTTTCTATTATCATCATGATCATTGCCAGTTATATTCACTAACTATTACTGTGGTCAAGTATTACATACATAGTCCTTACAACAAACACCAGAAATGAATGAATAGAAACATTTTCATTTTATAATTAAGATATCTAAAATCTAGAAAGGACTTGTGATTTTTCCTGGGTATACAGCTAAAATATGACAAGTTATAAGAAATAATGTCTATTTGCATGAAAAAATGTATGCTCTTAAACATGAAATACATAGCTTCCTTTTGTATTTTTACATCAGAATTCTTTTCCAGCTGTCATTCCAAGTCTAGCATTTATACCGTCTCTAACTCAAGGAACCCCACAAATCATTATCACATAAAAATGTCTTTCCAATTGCAAGAATTAGCGACAACCTCAAACCCTAGAGGGAAGCTGCAGACCACGGGAATTTTTAGTGATTTAAACAAACTTACCTTTCTCAAAGGACTACAATTTGCTTTGCACCACTTGACTGAGATAGAGCTGGCTGTGCACAGTTCCAGCAAGGTAAGGATCAGCATGATGGACACAAGACCCTGGGAGATATGATGCCTCATATTAAACCCAGCAGAAGCATTCAGAGGGGAAAAAACGTTAGCAGGAAACCAAGCTATAACACCTCCCTCCCATAAAACAGATCCAAGTACATCACAAATTTAATACACAGCCACACATCAACACTCTATACGAGGCACAAAGTCCGTCTAAAAGCATGGAAACATTTGTCCTGGAAAGAGGGATATGTTATTTTTCTATATCAATGTACATGAAGAAGTCGTGGTGGGACGAAGCTGTAGAGGACGAAACGCCGACACTATCACTAAGGTCTACCAATTGGAATAGGAGTAAACGAAGGAGGTGAGCAGGCGGTTTAGTAAAAGGGACAACAGTGACCCCTCCCCCACTTCATCACTAGTACTTCCTAGAGGTTGAGGCATTTGTACTATCCCTGCAAAACTAACACACTAAGCTCAACAATTAAACACATAATTACTGGACTAATGAGACTTCTTTTATTACTGAGGCACCTAGATGGAGCAAATGCAAAATTGCTCTGGAGGGAAAACACCCCCAAGTCCACAAAAAAAATCCAACCCATATAAATATATATGTAGATCATTAAAAGTACAATGAAGAAAGTGAGGATGGGTGGAGGGTATAACTCAAGTGGTAGAGCGCATGCTTACCATGCACAGGGTCCGGGGTTCAATCCCCAGTACCTCCTCTTAAAAAAATAAATGAATAAACCTACTTACCTCCCCTCCACAAAAAATCTTTAAGAAAAAAAGTGAGGATGCAAACTGCCACAAGTAGTATCAGCAAACAGAAGGATTAAGAGTAAGTCAGTAAATGACAGTTCATTACAGTGAAAATGGACAAATTTAGAGGAAAATACTAATTTCTGAGTTGATCTCAGAAGAAGGAGAACACCTAAACATAAACAAAAAAATTTTTGGAAAAGTTATTAAAGAAGGTCCCTTTTGAAACACCATACTCAAATAAATTCAAAAGTGAAGCCATTTAAAACTCCAAGGTGTCATTATTCGAAAATCCCAGACCACAGAGACAATTGTAAATCTCCCAAGTTAGTTTCATTGAGCAAGGTGTGAAATAAATTTTTTAAAATGTAATCTCCCTGGGAAATGTAATAGTACTAGTAGCAGTAGAAGCAGTAATGAAACACAACGTGCCCTGTTTTCATTGCTATCAAATATTAATTTATGTAATACTTACACCAATCCTGTAAGATTGATACTATCACTGACCTCATTTCAAAGAGGAGAAAATTGAAACACAGAGGAATTTTCTCATTTTCCCCTTCATTACAGAGCTCATTAATGACAGCCAAGATTCAAATCAAGGCAGTATGGGACCTGATGTGTTATTTTCTAGACATCGGACTGGTCAAAATATTTTATAATTACACATAATTTTTAAAGGCATACGTTTGATGAGGCTTCCTTGTAAATACATAAGTCAGGTGACTGGAAAGACTGACAATTCTTGAGTGATGGGTTATTCACTGATAAATTCATTGAGAGAAAAACCAGCCCAACCAGTGCAATTGTAGCACTGGCAATGTTCATCCCGAAACTACTTTCTATCTAAAAAGGAAAAAGAAACATCAATTAACATAGGCAGCAGATCCTTCATTCCTTTGGCTACAATTCATTTAGATAAATTTCCACAGAAAGTGGTTTGCACACCCAGCTATATCCTAGGTACTGGAGAAACATCAGTCAGCAAAGATTTCCCACCCTCATGGAGCTTACGTTCTAGCAGAAAAGACAAAGAAAACAATTACGCATACTAATAGGTAAATTATATAGCGTTTGCTAAAGTGATTAAGTGCCATGGGATAATAGAGTGAAATAAAGCAGGTCCTGGAAATCCAGAGCGAGGAGTAGAGCTTAGTGAGATTAAATAGGAATGACACCTGGGGAGAGGCATTAAAGAGTAGAGGGAGTCAGCCAGGAGGATGTCTGGAGGAACACCCTTGCAGACAGTTCAAAGGCCTGAGGTCAGAGTGTTCCAGGTGTGTCCCAGGGAAGCAAGGGGGTGACTTGCTGGGGAGGAGTGATCAAAGCACACAATATTAGAAAATGATGATGGAGACTGATCGGAGAGCCAGGCCATGTAGGGCCCTGCAGGTCATGGGAAGGACTTTGGTTCTTACCATGAAGAAAACATAGCACCACTAGAGGATTTACAGCCAAATGGTGACACCATTAGACTTCTATTTTAAAGGAACACGAATATCTCAAGTGAGTCTAGTTTAGAGAGGGCCTAGGATGGACGCAAGGAGCCCAACTAAGAGAGAGGGTGGAGAGGAGATGGTGCAATCAGTAGAAAGATAAGGAAAGGTCAAACTCAGATGTAGCTTGAACATAGGGCCAACAGGATTTGCTGACAAACTGGATTCAAGATTGTCAAAGTGTGAAGTAAAACTCATATTTTTATTGAAGTACAGTCAGTTACAATGTGTCAATTTCTGGTGTACAGCGCAATGTCCCAATATGATATATATATATATTATATATTCATTTTCATAGTCTTTTTCATTAAAGGTTATTATGAGATACTGAATACAGTTCCCTGTCCTCTACAGAACAAATGTGTCTTTTATCTATTTTTATATATAATGGTTAACATTTGCAAATCTCAAAAATATGGAACACTCCACGAATTTGCGTGCCATCCTTGTGCGGGGGCCATGCTAATCTTCTCTGTATTGTTCCAGTTTTAGTATATGTGCTGCCGAAGTGAGCATTAAAATTCATATTTTATGGCAAGACAAGAAAACTTGAAACAAACAAAAAGTCTTCTCTGCCCTTTGGGCTCTTCTCTCCTCCAGCTATGCACTGTGTATCTGCTGTGTGCATCTACCAAACCTCCCCATCGGCAGGAATTCCTGCTCAACCATGGAGAGCACCATCCTCCTAGCACCGACAAGATGATTCCTTAAAGACAACCTTTCTTCTTGAACTGATAAGGGATCCCAGGAAACTTAGGTCTGGGTTATATAAACTGTAAATAATACACCATTTGATGTACAGCCCTCTGTCTCAAAAAAAAAAAAAAGCATATAATGGTGCCTTGATTGCTAATGGGTGGAACAGTTCTCAGAGTTTTCTGAGATGCTCTTCCTGGATTATAATTTTCAAATTTGGCTCAAATAAAATTTTCCATTTCTGTTTTAGATCCACTGATTAATTCTTTGTCAACAAAAGAAAGAAGAATCTAAGCTAACTCTAAGGTCTGCAGTCTGGGAATCTGGAAGGATGGGATTCCCTTCAGTTGATGTGAAGAAGACAGTGGATGGAGATGGTTTGAGGAGGAAGGCTAGGGGTTGAGTTTTGAGCCTTTTAGAACTCTGAGCAATCAGGTATGCAAGTCTGTTGCTACAGGAGAGATGCAGGCTGGAAGTGTTTATTTCAGGGTTGTGGGCATGTCGGTGCCATTTGAAGCCATGAGAATGGTGGACATCACCAAAGCAGTGAGAAAAGCAGGTGACAAAGAACTAAGCTCTGGGACACTCCAACATTAAAGTGTTGGGGGGAAGAACTAAGTAGGGGAGTTTTAGAAGGAGGAGCAAAACAAGACAGAAGGAGAAGCAACCAAACAAGGTGTCCTGGAAGCCAAGTGAAGAACGTATTGGAAGGAGGAGTGACCATGTTATTGATGGGTCAAGTTAGATGAACAGTGAGAACTGAGCTCTGTGTTACCAGTGTGGACGTCTTCAGTGATCTTAAAGAGAGCAGTTATGGAGGTGTGATGGAGAAGAAAACCAAGCCTTAGCAGAGTGGGTTTAGTTGAAACTGGGTAGATAGGAATTGGAGACAGAATGTAGATCATTCCTAAAGGAAGTTTAGTGATAGAAGGAAAAACAAATTGTGCCTGTAGCTCACAGGAGAGAATAAGGTCAAGGTAGTTTCTCTCTTGCACCAAGAGCAGTAACTGGATGCTCATAGGCCGATTAAATAGATTAAGTTGAAAGAGAATCGGAGTGAAGCACTTGCATGGGAAATAAGGAATGGAATCAGTATTCAAGAAGGGGTGCTGGCTTTGAAGAAAATCACAGAAGGGTCACCTGTGGTAAGAGGTTAGAATGAAAAAAATATATATATCAGTACAGATCTGGTCCATGAAGTAGGTAGAGTGGCAGTCTGAAGTATCTCTCCTGATGGCTTGAGTTTCTCAGAATAGCAAGCAAGGCAGTCAACAGAGAGAAAAGATGAGGAAAAAAAGGGATTGATATTTGAGGATAGAATATAAAGGCGATGGGCTAGGAAAGTAGTGTAAATGGGTAGATGATCTCGTGGGAACACGTAATAGAGAATTGGTATGTGTTTAATGAACACTAAACGATTAGACTGTTTGGCTTTCAGTTGTGAAACTGATGGTGGGAGAGTGTCTGCTCAAAATAATCAGAATTGGTTACATTTAAGAACACACACACATACAGGAGTCTTTTTCTGTTTCAGATTCATCAAATATTCATAGTAATCATATTCACAATCTGTATGATTTTCTGAGAGTCCACCATCTGAACTTCTTAAGAAAAGAAACTCAATTTTCTTGGGCGTTAAATAAGACTCAGGGTCTTAGCTGGAGCCACCCGCCTCGACTCGCCTACTAGCAATGCATGACTTATTTCTCCTCTTATGATCGTAGAAAAAGAGGAAGAGCTGGCACTTACCCATTCTTTTGTGGGCTTTTTCCCGGCTATGACAGATAAGACTCCTGAAACAATAAACTGTTTGAAAATAGGAAGTGAAAGAGATAAAGGAATATTAAGTTTCAGCCACCTTCTTTTGGCCCTTCCTGGGTTAGCAGATATCTAGCAATAGTTGTACAAAACTTCCTTTTCAAGTTCACGTTCTAAACCACAAAATTATACTTAACGTTGCTCCATCATTTTATTTGAATAAAATTTTAAAGTAGTTTAAACTTTGAGTAAATTTATAAGAAACTCAATTTTGTTTTTTGTCTTGTCTTTCACAGGCTTATGTGGGTGTGTGTATTTTCACAGCATATAGCAAAAATACAATGTATCTTTATGTCTATATTTATATTAAATGTAAATAATATTTATTTACATACACATATATATTTAATATCATTCTCATATTCTTACCCAAGCTTTAGGCATGGGCCTAATTTATTGGACTAGGATGTTTTAAAAGATCTTTTATACATCTCAGTGTCTATATCCACTAATTCTTTAATCATTATTTTGATGTGCTATTGTTTCCAGGACTCTAATTTTGATAAATTGAATTCTCTGCAGTGTTCATGGTTTTCTTAAAACTTTATTCTGTTTTTTACCTTCTAAATCGCACGACCATTTACCAAGTCACTCCTGTAATTTGAGGGGAAAATTGCCAAAATCATGAATTAAATCACAATTCAATTATTGAATTCTGGCTGAACGTGAAGGGGACAAGTTTGAATTCTAATTCAAATAACAAAGAGGTTATCACAGGAAACCCAAGTCACTTAATAGCTTTGTGGTCAAGATCCTATCCTCAGCTCTTAACTCATTTTGTAACCTTAGACAAATTATCAACCCCCTCTTTGCCTCAGTTTCTTTTTCTGTAAAATAGAGATGTGCATATCCCTGTGTTACTATTACTTTCCTTGTAGTCTTGGGAATAAAATGAAAACATACACAGAGAGGGCTTAGATGTGTGCCCAGCGCACAGCAAGCACCCAAATGATTAACAATAGCTAAGGTTTTTATACACATTATTCCATTTAATTTTACACTAACCCAAAGAGAAGGTCCCCCATCATTTCCTCCACTCTAGTGCGGAAACTGAAACCGAAGGACGAGAGTTCAAATATCTTTTCCAAAGTCATACAGTTAAGGAGGATTAGTAAGAGGAAGATTGGGCCGAGAGAGGGACTCACACAGTCAATACACAGCAGGCACGTTCCCAGAGGGAAGCGGAGGGAGAGGAGGGTACAGCCGCAGGTAAGGCCAGCCAGGAAGGGCTTTGGGCCACGTAGTGGACCTTAGGCTTTGTTCTGTAGGTGATACAGAGCCAGAGAAAAGGTTCCAGAAACAGGAATCCAATGGTCAGATTTGAATCTTGCTGTTAAGGACGCTAAAAAAGGGAAACTCTGGTTCCCTGACCATGGCACTTTTTTCAACATTCTGACCTCACTTTTGGAGACAAGAAAACTCTTTCCTGCTTAAATAATCAAAACATTTCATTATTTTATTTTCTGCAATACGGAAATTTTCCATGTAGGTCGAGACTCATTATGCGGAGTAAATGTGCACCCTAGATTTTCTCGAAAAATTCAAATTCTAACTACTCCATCAAAATGATATTAACTGCCTAAAAATTTCAGAAATGTTAAGTCCAAGTTATGGGTTTGGACTGTATCCAGAAACAGAACACAATCTTTGGTCAGAATATGAGATCCGACTTGGGCCAGGAAATTTTGACCAAATTATGAGCAATTTCTTTTTAAAGGCGATCTGAAATTCAGTGATTTGAAAAATAAGAGTAATAAAATTAAAATGAATGAATAAATTAGAGCCCAGGACTTGTTATCAATGTCTTTCTTCTTAATTTCCCAATTATGTGTTCTATTCACTTTTTTCACCTAAACTTTCCCATCTTAGAGTTCATGGAAGCATCTTTGTTCACATGTGCAGTCCAAGACTGAACATGCATAAATTCTCAAAGGTCTAGCACCAGAATAAGCCAAAACAAAAAGTGACTGAATAATAAACAGTTCCTATTAGCCACTTTTTAAAAAATGAAGCATCAGGTGGGTGATGATCAAAAGACAAAGCTGAATAAATAATTTTTATTGAAGTATACTTGATTTACAACATTGTGTTAGTTTCTGGTGACCAATATAGTGATTCAGTCTTATACATAAATAAATATTCTTATGTATCTTCTTTAATTCCTTAAATATATATTCTATATTTATATATATTCTAAATATATAGTCTATATATATTTAATTTTATAAATATATATTCTTTTTCATTATAGGTTATTATAAGATATTGAATATAGTTCCCTGTACTATATAGTAGGAATTTGTTGTTTATCTGTATTATATATAATAATTTGTATCTGCTAGTCCTAAACTTCTAATTAACCCCCCAACCCCTCTTCCCTTTGGTAACTAACTTTAAGTTTGTTTTTTCTATGTTTGTGAGTCTGTTTCTGTTTTGCAAACAAGTTCATTTGTATCGTAAATAATTTTTTTAAAACACCTACACCCAAAGCCTATTTTACTGATTACATTTTGATCCAAAGAGGGGAAATTACTCTTCTGATTTTCAGACCATAATTAACAGGCAAATCTCATTGCCCAAACTGGGATTCTCTCCTGTACCACAAGGCAATTCACCAATCTTCATCTTCCATTTCAAGTATCCATAAATTTAATACACGGATATTAAGTTAATGTTTGGGATTAAATCTGCACTCAGCAAATATGATTTCTTTTCAGCAGAAGGAAAGGCGCTTTATTTTTATAACTTGTTTGTGTCAAGAATTACAAATCCAGCCCACAGCATGCAACCTTCACATAACCTGCCAACAATACTTAAAGACATTTCTAGCAGAGGTGACTAAGAAATGATCTATGGTCAGGCTATTGAATACTCACAGCTATACCGCCCCATAGTGGATAGCCCGTGGAGACGATCAAGAAAAAGTGCCTGGAGACAAGGGGTAAGTTTTGTAAGATGCTCATAAAAACACCCAGAGCCAGAATTATTGCTCCATTCAAGATCTGGATGGTCTGTAAAAAGAAAGAAAAGCATAAATAGTCGTATACTAGTGTACACTGAGAAGAAACCACTTTAATTTTCCTCAGAAAGGAGATATCCGTGCTTGAAATGTTTAAAAAAATCAAGCGGGTAGGAAGGGATAAATTTGGAAGTTTGAAATTTGTAAATATTAACTACTATATATAAAACTAGATTAAAAAACAAATTTCTTGTGTATAGCACAAGGAACTATAGTCAGTATTTTGTAATGACCTTTAGTGAAAAAAATATGAAAATGAATATGTGTGTGTGTGTGTGTGTGTGTGTGTGTGACTGGGACGTTATGCTGTACACCAGAAATGGAAACGCTGTAACTGACTATACTTCAATAAATAAATAAATAAATAAAATAATTTTTAAAAATAAAGTTTATAGAACCAAAAAAAAAAAAAGAAATCAAGCCTAAATTAACTAGACAAGAGCCTAGTCTGAGAGGTTTTTGTCCCATGTGATTTCCCACCAATTCCAGTGGCAATACCCCATCCCCCTTCCACTTCTGTTCATTCTCACAAAGTCCCTTCACAGAGTGTCAGCAGAGGGAAGGAGAGGCAGCTGATAAGGCAGATTGGGTGGAACTATCTTCTCAGCATGCTCTAGGGCCATGATGAAGGCAGGCAGACTGTACACAGCATCCTACTCAGCCTTTCCCTCAACCTATTTTTTAAATTTAAAATATGGAATAAGAGTTCAAGGGGCCCAGCCTCCTGATGTGGACAGCTGGATTGGAGTCCATTCTCCAACACTGATAGGATGTTTCCTACCATGAGATTATGCCTCTGCATTTCCATGCCTCGGGTCTAAAACATGCCCCAGGAAAAGCATCATTGCTTAAATATGCTTAGAGGAACATCGCTGTCAGCAATGAGTGACTCAGAAGTTCCCCCTTATGGGCAAAAGCAAGGTTTTCCACGTGACAGTTATTTTCTTCCTTCTTAAACCAATTTTTTTTCTTGTATTTGTCAAGCTGGATCATGTTTTATTTTATTTTATTTTTTCCCATTTTTAAAATTAAAGTATAGTTGATTTACATTGTTGTATTAGTTTCTGGTGTTCAGGACAGCGATTCGGGTATACATATAAATATATACATATTCTTTTTTATATTCTTTTTCACTACAGGTTACCACAAGCCATTGAATGTAGTTTTCTGTGCTCTGTGGTAGGACCTTGTTGTTTATCTATTCCGTACAGAGTAGTTTATATCTGCTCATCCCAAACTCCCAAGTATCCCTCCCTTGCCTCTTTCCCCCTCCCTGGTAACCATAAGTTTGTTTTCTATGTCTGTGAGTCTCTTTCTGTTAAACCAATTATTTAACCAAGACTGACTTACCCCAAGGGCTTGTAGTTCCTCTTGGTAATTTTGTGACTTATGAGTTCTGTAGACAGAATTATTCACCACCTCCGGTTCCCCCTGGCTTCCTGGGGCACCTGCTGAGGCAGTCCCCAGCTCTGCATTATCCACTTCTTGGGAGGCCATTTGGGGTGAGTGATGGCTGTCACAGAAAAGAAATCCAAAACTTTGATGTTTTCCCTGCTAGCTGATAATACTTTTTAGGTGCAACAGAAGGGTTCAGTTTTGTCCATCCCTCAAAATGACTCTCTACAAATGAAACAGGGGTGCAGAATAATAGAGTTTTTACGTTGTTTAATTCCAATTTGTCTTGGAGTAATAGACATCATCAAGTCATTATAGGAGGCCTGGGTACATCACTTAACTTTGAAACAGTTACAAGCAATTCCTTTCTCATTTTTCCATGCATGGATATGGATTAGGTAGTCCCTGACTCTCTTCAATCCTGGACATCCACACATACGGTTTCACTGAGCAGTGATCTCTTACGTGAGGAAGATAGCTTTCGCCACATTCTAGTAATAATTATAGATATTATTAACTGAATACTTACTGCTGTGTGCCAAGCACTGTCTAGGTTCTGTGACTGTATTAACATATTTAATCCCTCCAACAGTTTATGTTGCAGTGTTATTATTCCCATTTTAAAGATGGGAAAGTGGAGGCACAGACAGGTTGAGCAACTTTCCCAAACTTATACAGCTCATAAATGAGCTCAGATTCTACTTGAGACATCTACTTTAAGGTCCATCACTTCTTAAGCCATTATATTATAGAACACTATAGGGAAAAGACCTTTCTGGAGAGCAGTACAGAACAACGCAGAGGGTCTAAGCGCCCTGGAGGAGCCACGTGCAAATCCAAATCCACTTGCTAGTTTTATGACCCAGTCGTAGGAATCTCCGTGTTCACATCTGTAAAATGGAAATAATTTTAATTTCATATTAACATCGCAAAGTCTTAAAAATTAGCCACTGGGAAACTGGCATACATTTTAGGTAGAATATCTAATATGCTAAAATGTAGGCAATGTGGGGAGCGTTGCTCCTTCAGAATCAGATGGTTACTTGGTTCTATTTCCAGCTTCCTTCCTCACCCTTCCCGGTCTCATAGCTCATGCCCTGTTTTATTTCCTTTAGTCCTCCCAAGTGTCCAGCTCTCAAAAGTCTTGAACCCTTCTCAGCACTATTCCTTTCTTCCTGAGATACATTCCCCCTCAAGCTCCATCTAAATACTTTCTGCTCTGCGGCTAGACTGGGTCTCAACCCCCCCGTCATACTTTCATTTCATCGTCATACTCACATGTTCAGTCCTGGCCAAGTCTGGATGAAGCATCCCTTTAGTCACTCTCAGAATTTCCTCTGCTTCCCTCCTCAAACACTCATCAGTCTGACTGGCTACCTGTCTGCATCTCTCTGTCTTTTCATCATTGTAACTCCAGTGCCAACCTCGGTGTCTGTCATATGCGGGCACTCGGCTAATACCCGTCTAATAAATAAACAAACTTTTGGTCCAGCCTGATGTAGCCATGCTTTATGGAGAATAATAGAAAAAAAAATATTTGCAAGGATTGGAACCTCTCATGCACAGAAACTCCAGAGCAGTTTTGGAGGGAGGAAATCTTTTCTAAACATTATTTAATTTGACTTTTTAAAATAACATTAAGTATCAGGGAGAATTTTCAGCTTTCTGGTAAAATAAACTGTCTTCTAGAATTTGGTCAATTTATTTTTTTAAATGGGAGAAGTGTAGATTTCCTAAGAATCCCTCAGCCAAGTTCACCCCTCTAGCTTTCAGTGTGTGCCAAGCATTGTTCTAAGCGTTGACCAATCGACCTCTCACAATAGCCAAGTGAAAGGTACTACTGTTATGGTCCTTTCCATTCTACATATAAAGAAGCTGAGCATCAGAGGAGTAAGCACCTTGCCCAAGGCCACATGGCCAGAAATTTGAGGAGCTAGGGGATGAGAACCTAGTCTGGCTCCAGAGTATCATTACTGTCCCTCTGAGCTTATGCAGAAACTCACTCACCAAATCCCGTATCTCAAGTATGTCCAGACCATCCTTCATTACCAGAGCTGGCAGCCACATTTGGGTGCAGCCATTTAATATATCTAAGGAGTGTGTGTCCACATTTTCCCAAAAAAAATAACTACATAATTATGTCTAACATGTTTCGCCATAGCATCAGAGTAACAACCACATTCTAAGAGGAAGCCATCTTTATAGTGAAATGTTCCAGATCTCTATTCAGCAACCAAATAGAAAACTTCACAGATGTCCTCAGTGGCCCACTGCGTGGCAACTCTAACAGACAACAAGGCAAGGGGGCTTTCGGCAGAGAGAGAATCTACGGGGTTTACCTTGGAGGCTTCAAGCCGTAGTAGAATTCTTTCTTCTCAAGTCCATCTCATCGCTAGTAGGAGATACTCAGTAACACTTGCTTTTCCGGAAAACAGCAGCCTCTTTTAACAGAGGCTTAATGTAGCTTTGCCTTACACAACACTTGAGAGGAGTCAGTGCAAGTGTTTCGTTGGCGGACTGCAGAGCGTGCTGACCACGTGGGGGTCTGCGGCATCTAGGATTTCACTGTGCTTCCTGAAGGTTTGGTGTTGGTTAGGAAATTGGTGTCAGGAGTAACTGTCTTCTGGCTTTGAGATATTGCTTAATACACTGTTAGAACAAGAATAGAAGCAGAAAATATGGGTAGATGGGTGGGAAAGGACTGAGGAATGGAGGTAGACCAGTTATGTGCAGAGTTAAGATGAGACAGATTGTAAAAGTGGCATCTGGAGGAGGGAGGGTGGTGCATTCTCACATTCAATTTGCACAGGCTGAGAATGGTTCATTAACTTGCTATAAAAATGATGCAAATTGTAGTTTAAATGTGTTATTATGTACCAGACACCGTTTTGAATCTTCTACATGTATTAACTCCTTTCGTCCTCACTATAACCCAAGACCTAGGTGCAACCATTAACCCCATTTTATAGGAGAGAAAACTATGACATAGAAATGTGAACCAACTTTCCTAATATCACATGGCAACCGGCCAAACTGTGTGCAGAACTCAGGTTCTGGGTAGAGTGATGTCGGAGTTGCAGCTGTTCCCCTAGTGTGACATTAGTTACACTTCCTCTCACTTTCAGAAGCGTCCCAGTTTAGAAGATTAATTATACAATCATCCTAAATAAACGAGTAGTCCTGAAATAGGTGATGGAAAGAGCAGAGCAAGGAGACAGGGAGTAAGGAAAGAGGGAACATGAGAAGAATCGAATCATGATGCTGAGGAAGGTCACAGGGCAGGACCTAGAGGGGAAGGAGCGTGGCCTCTGGTCCGCAGGTGGGGAAAGTCTTGTGAGAAAGAGAAGAATGTTCACAGCCAACTAGGTGAGGTCCTAGTTCTAGAAACTGGAGCCCAATTGGGGACTTGGTCACAAGAAAGAGAAAGAGGGCCAGATGCCATCACCGAAGAACAGCTTGGGGAGGGGAGACTGAACCTTGGGCTTCCGAATATAAAGTGAGCAGCCAGGAAAACATAATGTATGGATGCCCTGTGACCAGAGCTGGCACCTGTGCCTGGAATAGAGGCTCCGAAGGAACTACCTGGGAGTGAAGGAAGGGACCGATACAGAGATGACTAAATGGAAATCTTGAGGAAATATCAAAAAGGATGGTAGTAAAAGATATGATTCTCCCACTTTGTGTTAGCCAGCGCCGCTGCAAAAAGAATAGTGAAGAAGAAGAAAGGAAAGGAAACAAAGTGCCTTAAGGGAGGGGAAGGAAGAAATATGAGGAAAAAAGTAGTTCCTTTCAATGTACAAAGCTGTACAAAGAAAGAGCTCTAAAAGGAAGTTACTTAAACGTAAGACTTCAGCTATCTCATTTGTAAATTTTGGATCTTAGTACATCCACCTTAAAAAAAAGAAGCAATAAAGATTAAGGACAGAATGCACGTAGAGGTATTAACAAACTAAGATCTTCACATGTGCTCAAAATAAATGAATGAAAATGAGAAGCCTCTTCAATTCTTCAGAGAGAGAATGATGACGAGAAACTGCTTTCAAAAGAAGGTTTGGAGAGGTTTCTTCCACTTGGGTGCAACAGCCCTGAATTACGAGAGAAAATGGTTTCAAGGAGGTTGGCTAGGTTTTGGTGCGAACATATCATAGTAAATAATCAAGTTAGAAATTCAAGTTGCTAATTTCCAAAAGGAGAAAAAAACAAATCTCTGAGTGAAGTCAACATTCTTGCTGTTCATCCACAAAGGAACCATTAGACTATCTGAAAAGTGATGCATTTCTCAAAATTTACTTGTCTTAATCCAGCTACTCAACATCATTGCTTACATCCCTACACACACTCACCCTGATGTGTGCACACACTTACTAAAATTATACTCTTCTTGAAGCAATATCTTTATATATCTTAATAAGTGTATAAACTGTCATTAAGAAAAACCATCAATTGTCTATCCATCTAAGGTCTCTGACTTTGGAATATGTTAAATGTGTTTGATCCATTGCCTACTAGTTTATAACTTTGCAAGTTTTTAAGTCTCTGCCTTGAAACCATGCCTGGCCAGAAATGACACTATTTAGTGTAATTGTAAGACAATAAAATGTTATGATAGACAAGGACTGTTGTTTCTAGAGGTCTGAAACAGTGAGTCATCAAATAAAATGAAACCAAAGATCAGAATTTAGCCATGACTCTTTCCTGTTTTGACTTCGCACTGTTTCTAGTTGAAGGGGGAATATACATTTGGTAGAGATCTAGTCTTAGAATCTGAAGGAAGGCATTGCAGTTTCAGAGTTCCTCAGGAAATCAGGAGAATTTATCATGATGTTTATTGGAAAAAGGAGAAAAATTCTAGATAAGAAAATGTTAGTCTAGAGGTCTCAGCTTTCAACTACCCAGTAGAATTTTCTGGGGAGTTGATAAGGCATTGCATCAGTATCACTGGAGTAGAACATCCCACATGGACATATTTTTAAACGGTCCCAAAGTGATTCTAATGTGAAACCAGAGGGGAACCACTGGGTAAATCTGAAAGATCTTTAAAATCAGGTGGTTAAAGGATGAGATGAGAGAGAAAAAAATTAGTTTCTCCAAGAAAGATTGTCCCTTC